AGGCAATCTCCCAACCCTTGAAGATGGACTCGATGAGTTGTTCTACAACTCGGCGAGTCATAGACTGGACATGTTCTTATGAGGGTGATGAACTCGCTGACTTCAAGGAAGAACTCGGCGAATCGGATGAAGATGGTCTTGATAGTTTGAAGTAAATAAGAACCCGTCGAGCCCTTGCTAGACTCGACGAGCAGAGTCGGGGTTGTATCGGATTAGTGGAGTATGGACTCGGCTAGTTAGCTGGCCAACTCGATGAGTCAAGTCAACTGGATGTTGACTTTGACCAAGGTTAACTTTGTCTGGTTATGGTATTAACCCTGGTTAGGGTCATATGTTCTGCTTAATGACGCGAGGATTGTCTTGTAGGGATTGAGGAGTCGAGGGGAGCCGACCTACACACCGGGGGCATTTCAGACGCTACACGACATCGAGGTGAGTTGCCTTATAGTAGGTGTGGGTCTAAGGCCACAATGTCGACCCACCAACAGAGATTTTTAGTAGGTAATTGTCTTTTTGATAATTATCTTTATTTGGTTATGTGACTTGGTCATGAGATATGCTTGCATAATATGAACATTGTGTTAGTGGTAGTGATAGGGAATAGTCTTTCCCTGGCATAGGTCATTAGGACCAATGGGTAGGTCATTACCCCGATATGCCTGATTGTGTGTTTATACCTTGCTATTGTATGCTAGTGGTAGGTGGTGTAATAGTCCCCAGTTACCGGTTGAAAGATATTGATGGTAGTTACCGGTTGAAAGATACCGATGACAGTTACCGGTTGAAAGATACCGATGGTGGATACCGGTTGAAAGATACTGATGGGAGTTACCGGTTGAAAGATACCGATGATATTTTATGGTATGCGGTATGATGGGGGAACTCACTAAGCTTTGTGCTTACAGTTTTTGGTTGTGGTTTCAGGTACCTGTTCGTCAAAGGGGAAGGAGTCGGTGGTGTAGTAGCATATCACACACATGATTTCCGCATGGATTTTTCTGGGATTGTACTATGATTTTTATCACTTTTGATGACATGGTTTTTAGACACGCGGTTATGGTTTTTATAAATTGTTGACATTGGCAATGTTTGGTAAATTATGTTATGAATTATCCAATTTAAAATAAAAATTTTGTTCTCGATTTTTGGGATGTTACACAATCTCCTTCTGTGCTTGAGCAAGCTGAACTGATTGAACTTCGAGCAAAGTGGTTTTTCAAGCAAGCTCATCCATCACCCTATTTTCCATATATAAGTTAGCTTGGAGTAGAGATGGCAAAAAAACGCGTACCCGAAACCCTAACCCGAGTTGACCGGGTAAATCCCCGAGTTGACTGGGGACGGGGAGGGGATGGGGATGGTTCTACCTGTCGGGTACCCATACCCATACCCGAAACCGGCCCTGATGGGTACCCGATATATATATATATATATATATATATATATATATATATATATATATATATATATATATATATATATATATATTATTACTTATGTTTTATTTTTAATAATGTATAAGCAAATTTTCAGTAATCAAATTAAGGTTTTTTAACAATCAAACGTATAGTTTTGGGAAGAATTTTTATGTCTTTTTTTTTGCAAAAAATGATTTTATTTGTAACCTTGAATGTTATTGTTCGTGTTTGAAGACATTCAGTGATTATAGTGTTTTATATTAGTTCTGTTAGTTTTTGTTTTGTTGGTTAATATATAATTATAAGTTATTTTTCATAAAAGTTCAAAACTTTGTAATGGGGAAAAATCCATGATTACCCATTGGGGGTCCCTGATACCCATTGGGGATGGGGATGGGGATAGATTTTTAATCCCCGATGGGGATAGGGTCGGGTATGGGGATGGGGATGAGGATTCGGGTATGGGGATGGGGAACACGAAACCCGGTATACCCGTACCCATTGCCATCCCTAGCTTGGAGTTTAGAAAGAGTGGAAGAAATGGACGTCTGAAACACAAAGTTGTCAGCAGAAATATCAGCCCAAAGCTTCTCAAAAGACTCATGTTCTTTTTTGAGTAAAGCATTCAGATTGACAATAGCATGGTTGGCTTTAGAAACATTGTTTGCAGTAGCTGTGTGGATCTCAATAAGGAATGTTTTGGTCTCAAAGAGTAGTTTATCGACTGTTTCGGTCATTTGGCACTACTAGAAAAACAGCCTTTTACGACGCTCATTGCGCGTTGTAAAAGGCTCAGACGAGGCGCAAATATGCGTCAAGAAAGGCCCTGTCATAAAGAGAGACGACGCGCTTTTGTGCGTCCTCTATAGACGACGTGCATTTACGACGCTCATTTACGATGCGCAATTACGACGCACGTTTACGACACTCAATGCGTATCAAGGAAGGCCCTTAAAGGAAGACGACACGTATTCGCGTGTCGTAACCTTACAACGCACGTGTTAATGACACGCAATGCGTATCAAGAAAGCCCCTGTCAAGAAAGGTCATGTCATAAATGAAGATGACACACATTTTTGCGTATCATAATTTTAAATGTTTAAAAAAATATTATTTACATATTTACTAATTTTCAAATTAAATTTGTATTTAATGTCTCATAATAGAAAATAAAATCTCATATAAAGAAATACAATCCATTACATAAAATTTAATGTCATACAAATAATTATTGCATATATAGAAAAATAAAACAAATCAATAGAAGTTATAACATAAATTTACAAACTAATAGTTCTAATAACCTAATGTGTGCCTCATTGTAAACAAGATTTATGCTAATTTTTTTTAAATGTGTGCCTCACTTGTCTCCACTATTCCTTAATAACACCACTTAAGGACTTTAAACCTATGAACTTGCTCACAGTATCTATATTGCCTGCAAAAAAAAAACATAACTACAAAATAAGCGTGAAGATGGATTATTACAGTGTAAGAGAAGTAAAGAGCCTTGAGCTTCCTCCAATGGGACACATGGGTAGTCAAACAAAATAACACGAGGTTCTTGGCGACACATCTGATTTGAGTCTCTGTAGTAACTGATCTTTGTTCTTTGGCTTGCTAAAGGAATTGGTTATTGTATCAAGCAACACACACTGTCAAATTTATATACTTTTTTATTTTTTTTTTAAAGTGTTTTGATGTTGGAATTTTCTCTGTACTTGGGGCAGTGTTTGTTGGATTTCATGTGACCAAACTGATGAATCAAACCATAAAATCATCACATCACAACATATGTAGACCATACTTGACCTTTGTATTTTATGTTAAAAAGGAAAAAGGCATAACATTTGTAGAGCATACCTAACCATAAGCTCCATATGCAAAACTCTCTCTTGCATTTTTCTTTGTATGTCCAACCTACATTAGGATAGATCAAGCAACAACTTATTGAACAAAATTATGTTAAAACTTCATCTTTTTTTATATGTTAATAAAGAGAAAAAGCAACTAACTTACTAACCAGTATCTAAATCTAACTTTGATGCAAATGAGTATACTAAACTACTTTGGATGTTTATATAATGAATAGGCTGAGGGTAATTTGGTAATATCAGTAGCCGATTTTTTATTCTCTCCAAATCCCTCCATTTTATGAGGAAAGTTAGAGATAATATAATCACCATTCTCCCTTTCTTTTATTGCCACGTCTTTCATAAAAACGGGGGAGCATGATTTTCCTTCCCCTCTTTCTTCTCAATTTCTTTCACTTCTGAACCCAGGAACATATACTGTTAGAGGGTGTGATGGTTAAGAGAAAAGAGATGAAACCAGAGAATGATTAGGTCACAAAGGCTTATCAAGTCTTTTTAATTTATGTGTACAATTAAGGTAGCTCATATACTCAACTAGTAAATGAATTAGTCAAAGTTAGCTCATATGCCCAGTGCATGATCTAAGTTGGATTATTGGTGTAAATGTAACGTTGTGCATATAGAAGGGCCCATGTTATTAATGAAGCTTTGAAACTACTATCTGATGGGTCATAGTATATTGCTTCGCATGTCACAGCTGGTAAAACCCGAGTGTGTGTGTGTGTGTGAGAGAGAGAGAGAGAGAGAGAGAGCGAGAAAGAGATTCCAGTGTGTGTATGAGAGAGAAAGAGAGTAAGATGTACCTCAGAAAGCAAAGGGATTCCAAGATTCCGAAGTTATTGAATTGTTTTTTCAGTAACAAAAATTATCTTAGTTACTTGTAAGACAAAAATCTTATCCTGAAGGATTTGTTTTCCTTCAGGATTAAGATCCCCAAAAAGATAGAAAATCGACATTGTTCAAGTTCTTGAATTCTTTTTTCAGATGTTCATCATCACACCAACATAAAAGACCAAAGGATTTATGTAAAGAAACCCATCAGATGCTCTTCTTCAAGTAGCCAATATCTTCAGAACTCAGAATCCCAGATTCCATTCCGTCATTCCACTATTTAAAAACTTGGAAAACCTAACAACACACGAAACAAAAAAATGTTATTGGATGTATATGTTTTCTCATATCTATATATGTATATGCATGTACTAAAATTCACATGTATGCACATATCTGTATCTGTATACTAATCTGTTTCGACCAAGAAAGAATACTAAAATTCTTCAAAAATGGTTGAAGAAGACAACTACAACACAATAACTATATTTTTCAAATGGTTAAACAGGTTTTTGGTGAAATGTTGCATCTTTTGGTCCTAAAAATGAAATGGCATTGCATATTTTGCATAGAATATAATCTATTTTGAATAGAATAAGTGATAACACAGAGTATTCAAAAAAAATCAAAGAATTACCAGCTTTGAAGGCCACCTAAATTTGGAAGGATCATAGTCTGCTAACAAAACAAAAGAATTACCAAATCTTTTTAGTACGAAAGATATAAGAAACATGACAACAGAAAACAAAATAGTAAGTAAACCTACAAATTTCTCTTTCTCTTTTGATCTAGTAGCAACTTTATTTTGCCAACATGTCAAAACAACGGGCCCCGATATCTGGTCAAAACTTTCCTGAAGTCTATTCACAAAATTTTTTCAGTTTGACTTAGAAACAGCTCTTGACAACCATAAAGATGAGTCTGGGAAATACACAATAAGAGGTTGCACAGACTTCAACACCTGCAATCATAATAAGATAATTAACAAACAAACAAAATACTTGTTTTACTTTTCATTTATATGTCATAATGAACATAGTCTGAACTACAGAAAGAAGCATGTATGCAACCTTGGATAATGCCTGCATTGCAATATAACAATCTTCAGCTTCAGTATCAAAATCATGCTTAACATGCTTAGCTGCATATAAACAACAACATTTAAATTTCCATCTTTATCTTCATTACAACATTCAATAATGTTGTTAGATATACAAAAATAAAATTACCAAGAAGCCAATATATTGATGGTTTTGCAGATTGATCATTGTCTTCTGTGCTATCAAGGATAACTGCAACTCTTTCCCGACTAATCTCATAAATCTCCCCACGTTGACCAGTGCCTAAAGGTCTGAAAAAGAAAATAAAATTACCAGAAACAGATTAACACCAATAACTCTATTTATATAAGATAAGTTTTATAACTACATTCACAATCATAAACAAGTAAAACCAAAAGCATATCAAGAAAGAAAGAAAGATTTAAGTACATGAAACTATTGGAATCTTGATATACATACATTAATCAATAGTTGTTTTTTTTTTAATTTTATTATTATCTCATACAGTGTTTTGAAACCGGACCGGACCGCCCGCTTCGACTGGTTCAACCGGGAAACGGTCAGGTCACCGGTTTTTTGTCACCCAAAAACCGGCTATTACTTAGTTTATTGTATCTATAAACAGCACCTAGGATATTCAACATCTGTCTTTTATATTCATGGATGCACTTAACTCGAATGTCGAAAAGGGTATTAGGGTCAATTGTTTCGCCTATTACTTTCAGTATGTACTGTGCTAATCTATGTTTATTGGCCATTTCGGATGACTCCCATTCAGCTTGAAGCTCTGGATTGTCAGCAAACTTTTGGAGAGAGAGGATAAGATATAATTACAATCAGCAGGAGATATGTAAATCCTCAGAATAGAGGGCATTTTGTTCATTTTTACATAATAATAGAAAGAAAATGGAAGCAACATACCTCCCACAGACCCACAAGTCGGTCTAGGTTAGTGACCCACTTGTCTGTTTTTAACCATTTTGTTATGATATGACTATGTTCAGGACTACAAAATCTGAGCCAACGTCTAGGAGTAATGTCATTGGTCTTATTTTGAAACTTGTTTGGCCATATTGACACATAATCTGCAAATAACTCAGCCTTTAAGATGCCGCTGTGCAATTGTGCTATACCATTAACCTGTCAAAAAAGATAAAAACAACGGGGTCTTATTCTGATGCGCAACGGGTTGCGGTTACATGGGATTAGTTTCGAGAGATGTTCAGCACTCGTTATGTTCCACAGGTTGAGAGAGAGAGAGGTTGGCTCAAGAGTTCCTGTAGCTAAAGCAGGATACATAGTCGGTGATGGAGATCACCAGGATGTTCACTGAGAGGGCGATGTTTTGTCTGGAGTTTGCTTCAGAACAAGCTCAGATGTCCTGATATCTGAGTATGCTCAAGAGGGACATCAGGCAATTTGTGTCCACGCAGAGATGTGATACCTTGTTAGAGTTACAGGAGGCCGCCAGGCGGCGTGAGTTGGAGATTGAGTTGCAATTGAGAGAGCAAAGGCAGGCCCCGACGCAGTCGCAGCCGGCGCCCAAACGGTCCAAGACCGTTGATTCTAGGTTGGGAGATCAGAGCAGCCACACTTGTGGAAAGTGTACGAAGGGTCACATTGGAGTTTTTAGGTCCGGTGGTGCGTGCCGCAAGTGCGGTAGGGAGGGGCATTATGCGAGGGATTGTCGTCAGTCAGCCCCAGTTCAGGATATGAGGATTTGTTATCAATGTCATCAGATTGGTCACATGAGGGCCAATTGTCCACAGCTTACTGTAGGACCGGTGCAGGCTCTAGCACCAGCTACTTTGAGGATTACGGGTGGAGGTCAGGGTGGAGTAGAGCCCCGAGGGCTAAGGGACGTGCTTTCCATCTTATAGCAGAGGAGGTCAGGGCAGAGCCAGATACGGCTACGGGTATGTTTCCTTCTTGATATCTTGTTATCTTGTGGTTGTTATGAAGTATTATACATCTGCTAGTCTCGTTCGCATGATTCATGGCATTATATTCGTTCGTCCTTTCGTTGGGTTTATCGCATGAATGAGGGTTTTGGTATTGAGAGTCTTAGTTGGTTATCATCCTTGGGGATTGTTGGTGGGGAATTAGGATTTTTGGTCTGAGTGTCGTGTACAGCATTTGCAATTTGAGGAATACTCAGTTGAGGGTCGAGCTCCCTTGGAGTTCGAGATGTGCGATGTTGAAACATGGTTTTGTGGAGGGTGCTCATTTTAAAATCAGTTCAAGTATAAGAGAATTTGTTGAGTAGGATTGTTTAAGTGACATCGGTTGGGTCACCGGGGGTTGGTAGTCAGTGCTCTAAGTGGGGAGAATTGGAAAATTCTTAGGAGGATTGGCAGCATGAGAGGTCAATCAGTTGTTTGAGTTTCAACAGTGTTTCAGTCAGCCAAGAGTGTGGGCTGGTATGAGTACATCAGACGAGTGGGGCAGGATACAGACCAAGGTTGGGCCTAGGGTTATGTCGGGATTTGAGTATATAGAATGGAGTTAGAGTTTAGAACCCCAAGAGGGCTACAATAGTATGTACAGGAGAGATTCCCGGAAAGAATGGTTCAGGGTGATGTAAGACAGTTTTGAACGGTCCGGACAGACTGAGGGCCGGAAGGCGTACCAGTCAGACCGAAGGCTTGGGGAACGGTCCAGACAGGCTGAAGGCCCAGGAGGGTGGTACAGATATGCTGAAGGTTCCGAGAGTGGTCCAGATAGGCTGAAGGCCTGGTAAGGTGGTCCAGTCATGTTGAATACGCTGTATGTGTTAGGGGATCGGTACGAGGAAAACGAGGAAAAGCATCACCAGTGGAGGATAATTGATATGGTCTGGCCCCAAGTATTGATCATGTTAGTGGAAAGCAGTGCATGGACCCGAGAGTCCTTGCGAGCAGATTCAAGGTATATGGAAGTTCGAGAATAGCAGTTGCTCTACATGGATAACATAGAGTGAAGTGTAGCTCAGTGGCACGTGCAAGTTCAGTAAGGGTTGTTGAGTGGATTTCGTGGAAAGGAAAGGCATGTAGCTCCGGAAGGAGCGTGGTTACTCCAAAAGAGGAGGAAGTGGAGTAAGTAGATCATCGATAGTGCTTCAGCTATTGGTAGTAAGTACTGGGATTATACCATTGGTATGAAACACATCCGGATTGGGTGTCTGTTGAGGTTGCGGAAGGATTTCCTGTAGTGTAGAACTAGAGGAGTTCGGAGGGGATGCAAAGGGGGAGCCTTGGATTTTCTGTATGGTTGTGATCAAGAAGTTATGTATGTAGCGGAAATTCATCCTGGGGATGTTGAAGGTATCGTCAGTGTGTTGGGTTTTCCAGCCCGAGGATGTTAGAGCAGGTTCAGCATGCGTATGTGACTGTAAGGGAGAGCTCATGGGAGTTGCTCATGAGCTGAAGGATGTGTCATCCTGTCAGCTCAGAAAGAAACGAGTTGATTTCGGAAAGGAAAGTAGAATGAGTCCCAGAAGTGAATTCGATAAAGGATATGCCAGTCAAGGAAGGGGGTAGCATCTTGGTACCGGGTCAGGACCCGGTGGTTCAGGGTGATATCTAGCTTTGTAAGAGTCAAGTGTTTGTTGTGATTTGGAGTGATGAAAGTATCATCGGGTGAACATTGGTTAATAAGGGTTGTTATCCGAGAAAGAAGTCGGTGGTTGGCTTGAATCGGTTGTCGTAACTCTGTGAGGGAAGAGTTGGACTTTATAGAGGTTTGATAGCAATGTTCGGAGGAACCCGAGTCAATTAATACCAGGAGGTGCATTGTGGGAGTATTATCTGGAATTGTGTGCCGCAGCAGGCTTCGAGGACAAAGACTAATTTAAGTGGGGGAGAATTGTAACACCCCGAGTTCAGAAGTGCAAGTTCAGGGTTCTTAGTGTAAAAGAGGAAGGTCGACTCGGCGAGTCGATGGATAGACTCGGCAAGTTGACTCACGATTCTGGTCAGGTGTTAAGTGACCGACTCGGTGAGTTGGTGCTGAAGGAAGAAAACCCTAATTTGGGGGTTGTGCCCTATATAAAGCACCTTATAACCCACCCCAGCCTCTTTAGCACTCCCTTTGATGTCCAGAAGCTTTCCCCATCGATTTCAAACCCTAATTTGAGAGTGAGAAGGATCTAAGTGTGTTTTGGAGCTTGGAGAATAAGGATACTTGAAGCAAGAGTTGGTGGAATCATAGAGGAGCGAAGTGGATCTGATTTCCTTGCTTGTTGGCATCAGACTGAAGGTAAAAAGATGTTTCCTTGACCTTGTTGTGCTTAGATTGTTCATGGATGAAGTTTAGGGCCAAATTGTCATATATGAGTCTCTTTTCGAGTATTGGGCTCATATCTGTGGTTGCTACTATAGATCTAGATTGGTCTTGACTCATGAACCTGGGAAGTGATAGCTTTGGGCTTGATTGAGAGTGTCCTTGCCTTAAAGCTCCATTTTAGTTTGATCAGAGCTTGTTGAGCCTTGCATGCACGTAAAGTTGGAAACTTTACATGTGAATCTGGCCCTAGGAGTCCAGATCAATGTATTGGAAGCAATGGAATGTCCTGTGATCATCTGAATGAAGATATTACGTATGGACTCGGCGAGTCTAGGAGATGACTCGGCGAGTCGGGCTTGATATCAGTATTGAATCGCATAGTAACTCGACGAGTCACATGGGTAGAATCGGCGAGTTGTATGAAGATGGGCAGGAACTCGACGAGTTGGAAGAACAACTCGGTGAGTCTGTTGAATATTGCCTTCGACCCAACGAGTCTGTTCTTGGACTCGGCGAGTCTGGTCGTGAACTCCTAACCACTTTGGTTGAGTTGTGAATCGGTGAGTCGGGGGGATGACTTGATGAGTTGAGCAGGTAGGGACTCTGAGTTTGTTGGACTCGACGAGACTTGGAGCGACTCGGCGAGTTGATTCGTGGCATGGGAGTTTCTGAGCATAGGAACTCGATGAGTCAACGGGTTGACTCGGCGAGTAGGGTCAACCAGGAAGGTTAACTTTGACTAAGGACTTTGACTTGGACCAAGGGTTGACCAGTTTGACTTCCAGGGGTATGTTGGTAATTATTGGTGTTTATTGGTTTTGGTTATATGGTAATGATCAGTGGTGGAGTTTGTGCTTGTGGTCGGAGCAGCGTGGTCTTATTTCTTCAAGTCGGTAGTTGCAGGTGAGTTATCCTCACTATATCGATAGGGTCTAAGGGTTGGCCCTTTATCGGATGGAAATTCGGGTAGTTGTTGTGTTATTGCTTTGCTATATGTTTGCATCCTGGTAGTTACGATGGTATATGTTAGAGACCTGGTTAAGGACGGAATCTTGGTATATAGGATGATGCTAAGTTAATGATCGGTTAGGTCGGTGTCCTGGTTAGAGTGTGCTATGTATGTGATCTGCTAGATCGGTTGATTAGTGAGGAATTGCTATATGATTATATGTTTATGTGCACATGGTTGATTGACTGGGGTTGGGTTGAGGTGGGTCCTGCTTTATGCTATAGGCCAACATACCCAGGGCGGACCGGATATCTAGAAGGCCCAGCGAGCGGTTCGGATAGGATGTAGGCCCCATGAGGGCGGACCAGACGTGCCGAGGCTCGGAGAGTGGACCATGCAAACTGAAGGCCCAGTGCGGGCAGACCAACCACACTGTAGACTCGATGTATATGGCTAAACTCGGAGGGTGACCAGGTGGACTGAAGGCCCGGTGCGGCGGACCAGTCACACAGTAGACCCGAAGTGCATGGCTGTTCTATTTATGAT